GGATTTTCCGAAGTTCATCGTGCATTTGATTTAAAAGAACAACGTTATGTTGCTTGTAAAATACATCAGTTGAATAAAGAATGGAAAGATGAGAAAAAAGTCAATTATATTAAACATGCTCTTCGTGAATATAATATACATAAACATCTCGAACATAAACGTGAGTAGTAACAGGCGCACATAATTTATGTCTTTTTTTAATGTGTTGTTTCTAATATAAGCTAAATGTTATAAGTTTTCTATTTGATTTACCTGACTAACCGCAAAAGTAAGAAGCGTAACTGGAGAAAGTGCGAATGATGAAACTGTTAATTGAGAAAACCGCTAAAATGTAAAAATCGTTAATGTAACGATCGTGAGAAAATAAAACTGCTACCTAAAATATAGATCTTTAAATGTCCCAACTGTGAGGAACACAAGTCATTCTTTACTAATAACTTTAAAGCAAAGATCAGAGAAAATATAGTACATCTGCGCGCACTCGGTCCTTCTTTTAAAGAGCTTGATTAAACGGATGAGACTAGGGACATATCAGATGTTTTTTCAACTTCTTCGACCGTTCTGCCATCTTCTCTTCAACACAGCAGTCAAAAGTAATAATGCATACAGGAATTTGTGTCTTCCCATCAGCGGATTTAAGTTCAGGGATTTTAATTTTAGCAGTTATCTATTCTTGATTTCTTTTTTTTGTGCTTTGTCCAAACGTACTTTTTATTTTAGCAATTGCCTAGGCATACCTTCTAAACTTTTATATTTATTACTTTTAGGTATTGTTAAATTATTTGATGTATTTGAAATCGATACAAATTCATTTTGCACGGTATTAGAATATTGTCATGGAAATGATTTAGATTTTTTTCTTAAACAAAATAAAACTATACCAGAAAAAGAAGCACGTTCAATAATAATGCAAACTATAAATGCACTAAAATATTTAAATATCGAAATTAAACCACCAGTGGTAAGCGCGTGTTTGTCTATTTATATCTATGTATCTAAACAAATGTTGCCTAGCAGAATAATTACTATGTTCTTGCCAAAACATTGTTGAATGCTTTCTCAAGAGCATCTAGCTAAAAAATAAAAATAATTGACTTTTTTCAATGCTAATGTCGGTGCAGAGGCAGTGTTATCTAGGTACATTGAGAAAAACATTTACATGCATCTAGATAAATTAAACAATGCTTTTTTCGTACTTGGATAACAATGAATGATATCAAATTACGTTCAATTTTTTTTGTAGATTCATTATGATTTAAAACCGGGCAATGTTCTACTTGGATCAGGTGAAAAGAGTGGTGAAATAAAACTAACTGATTTTGGTTTAAGTAAACAAATGCACGAAGATTCATATGATGATGTTGATGGTATGGATTTGACGTCGCAAGGAGCTGGAACATGTAGGTATTCGATCTTAAGAGAGTTAATTGACTTCTACATATTTCTGAAATATTTTAGATTGGTATTTACCTCCAGAAGTATTTGTTCAAGGTCCAAATCCACCTAAAATATCATCAAAAGTCGATGTATGGAGTGTTGGATGTACGTAAGATATTTTTTTGTTTGTTTGTCTTGTATTTAAAATTTAAACGTTTTAAGGTATATTTTATCAATGCCTTTATGGTAAAAAACCGTATGGTCATAATTTATCTCAGGCAGCCATATTAGATCAACAAACAATTTTGAATGCCAAAGAAGTTGTTTTTCCTAATCGTCCACAAGTATCGAATGAAGCAAAATTATTTATAAAACGTTGCCTAACATATAATGTCAAAGATCGTCCAGATGTAATTCAATTAAGTGAAGATGAGTATTTAAAATCTTATCCAAGGCGTACAACATCTACATCATCATCTGTATTATTTTGTCCGAAATAAACTATTCTCTTCTCTATTTGTATTCTATTTTTGTTAAAAGACGTTTCTTTCGTTTCATCTCAACTTTTTTTGTTTTAAAAATTAATCAATACTGTTATTTTCTGTTGATTGTCTTTCTTACTTTCTCCTTCCTTTTGCTACTGGGGTCGCTAAACGTGTGTGTATGTGAGTGTATTAGTTTTTTCTTAATTGTTATTACAAACTGTATTTTTCTCGCATGTATACTGCTCATCCTATTCTCTTCATTCTTTCTTTTCTTAAAGAAAAAAACAGTAAAAAAAATTACATAGAAATTAAATAAATTGATCACGTAATACTGAACTTAGATAAATATAATTATGTTTTATGTGTGATCGGACAGGATTTATTTTCAATTAGATACGTTTTTGAAGCATGACGGTGATTATGCTCGTTGCGTACTTCTAAGATGCTGTGTTTGAACATCGGAGCCGATCTTAGGCATGGTGAGTGTGTACGTAGCGCTCAAACAATGTGTGGAAAGAACTGTGCGTGAGACTAGCCTTCTGGTCAGAGCTTCAGTTAATGTCTAGTAACGATATGAGTAATAATATCAGAAGCCGGTCAACTGTAAGAAAGATATCGAGCTATTGAATAAAACTGACATCTGTCAGCACTCTAAATCGATAACGGTAGTTCCAAGCAGATCTGCGCGTATTCTGAATGTATTTCCCCTGCTTTTCGGAAAAAGTTTCTCTCTTCTGCGACCGTTATTCTAAACTCTTTTATAATATGTGAAAAACTTTAAAAATTACATCTCTTACTTTTTTCGCTTGGCAAGATACGAACTGTAAGCAATTCTTCTCTTTCTTCGTGGTATGTTTTGTGCTGTGTCAGAAGGCGCATCTTCCCTAGTGAATGTGCTCAAGTGTAAGTACTCAGATGCGTACTCATGCTAAAAAATGCGAGGAGTACACATGGGTACTCACACATTTTTTGACTTATTTAGCAGTTACATGAGTACTCATGCGTGAGTAATGATTACGATGTGTACGACTCACGCTTGCATATTGTTGAGTACTCATATACTTTTTGGCAAAATACAAGTATCTTGATAAACCACTCGGCTGGCTTCGAAATATATCCACAATGCGTTTTGAACAAGGGGGACACAGCACAAAACATACCACGAAGAAAGAGAAGAATTGCTTACAGTTCGT